AATCTTTACTTAATTTTAAAATTTAAAGTGAACAACTCAATATGTTGTGAGTAGGTATTTCAAGCGTTTACCTGTTACCGTTATTATTAATATAGAGCAAAAAACGGCAAAAAATCAAGTTTTTTGTATGGGAGCTCCCCTTAAATATTTTTTCAGTTCATGGTAGTGTCAGAGAGACACATGGACAGTGGAATCCTATCATTTTTACGCTTTGGATACGGAACCCTAAAATGATTTCCAACACCGATAATGCCTGATCTGCCATATCCATAGCGGTATCTATGATTGTTTAAACAAACGCCCTTTTCGCCATTCTTGTCTTTAAACTATTTATAGTACAGGAGTTCCTATATTATAATAGAACAAAACATATTATTGTCAATACCCATCAAGCCCGTAGTACACTTGACGGTAGCGTCAAGTCAACACGGTAAACGATCAATATTCGCTTCAATCACGTAGACTTGACAACTCGACTTGATCGTTTCCGGGACGTATTAGAATGCTGCAGGGCGTCAATTACGCAATTATAGTTCTTTTGTACGAAAATTAAATCCTATGAACATAAAAAGCATTAGTAACCTTATATTACTTTTTAATTTCTATTTAGAAGATAAAGAAACTCTGACGTAACAAAGATGAATACAATAGTAAAAAACACAATAAACATGAACTGCGATTTAAAAAAAAAACAACGGCTCAGACTGCAGTGATATCCGAACTTTTAAGGGTCTAAACTTTTTTAATTATTGCGAACTTGACCCGATATAAATTTTCTTTAGTCTGATTTCAACTTGTGAAAATTATATCATTTCCCTGCGAAATTCCTTAGTTGTATCTGATGCTGGGACTTTTGAAGGATTTCCGGCTTCACTGTCTAATCCATGGGGTCGTCCATAAAACACGTAATATTGTACAATGCTGAGAAAATATTGAAAGTAAAATTTAAATCTTACAAGTCTTTTCAAAAATTAATTATTTCGACAAGAGCCAAGCTTAGCATTATGGGATTACTTTTAATTAAAAGTAGGTAAGTATTATTACTTGAGGGAATCTAATCTACATAGGTTCCAAATTTATACTCTCGGGTCCTCACTAACTTTATTTGAAAATAAAAATAGATGCTTCTAATGTCATAAATTTTTGGTAATTTGCAGATAAATAACTACTAAATTGTATTGAATATAATCACATTTTTGAATATTTGCCAAATACACATATACGCGGAATAGAACTATGGGACTTAGACAATAATTTGGTTGTTGGTCATGCTATAAATTTACAACGGTTATATTCGTAAGTTTTATATATAGATTAAAGATAGAGGTGCGAAGAACATGAGTTTGAACGAAATGAACTAATAGATATGTTGTTAGTTTTTCATTTTTTTAAGCATTAAACTGTAGATGTTCAAATCTAAGAAAATTTTACTAGAAAAAATTCACACGGACAAGGCAGCAGACGGGACTCGAACCTGCACCCTCCGCTATCCGGGCGGATGCACTGACTATTATGCTACAGCGGCCCTATTGGCCGCGTCAAATTCTTTCTAGTGCATATTTTAGGCTGCAAGGCAGCTAATAGAAATTAGTCGTACTATAAGGATACGCAAATCCACTGCACTTGTTGGACCACCAAATGAATAGACCTTCATTCATATCGCTTTCTTGATTGACACAAATATTTTAGGCAAGCTGTGCAGTGTTTATGGTATACTGATTTTATCATTACAATTTTGTTCATACGATTTTAAAGCTACTTCATTCATGTCGCCTTTTGTTGGCAGATTTCGTTATTCCCAGAGTAGAAGATAAAATATTGTAATAAGCGCTTAAGGTAAGGCTCCTTGTTTTGGTAGATATCTATTTTAAGTAAGGGATATAGTGCATAGCGGATTCCTGCTAGAATTAGAGGAATCTTTTAGAGAAAATCGACGTTTGGTGGAGTTGTGTTTTTGTTGCTGAGCTGAAAAAGGTCCTAGGGTTCCACAGGGTAGGAAAATTGCGTTCAAGTCGGCAAAGTTGAGGGCTAAAGCTACTAATATTTCTACCGCATAGATTAATTTACGACAACGTAATATTATATTATGTAGTCACGAGTTAATAATAAACATTAACTTGTGGCTTTAACAGTTCACTGTTTGCATATTATGTAGGAATCTTGTTATTTTAAATAAATCACAATAAAAAAATGTCTAGTACCCTATCATACCAATAATAATACCTACGTACTTACGTACCTAATATATCTGGCGGATGTAGGAAAGTCATAAAATTCCATTAAAAATATTTTGAGTGGGGGTTTCATTTTACGACATTTTTACGTTTCCTCTGGATATTTATCATGAAATACCACCTATCAAAATGATTTCTCTCTGCGTAAAACGGGGAAGATATTTCCTTGAGTATAATATCTGGTAATTTTCAAGTGCAGTTTAACCAAGACCACAGTCGTTCATAATAAAAAAAAGATATTATATACTGACCATAAGGCGCATTTTCTTTTATTTAACATGATACCTATTTGGGATGGTCGTAGAGACAAAGATATCGCATTTGGTCTAAATAATAGAAAATCTTAGGTACAATTAGAGTTTGATGGCGCAGAAGGAGGCAGCGGAGAGGGAGCGGGAGGAGGACGCTCTAGCCCCCCCTCTCCGGCGTAGACGGGTGGGCCGAAGGAGGCAGGCAGCGGTGACTGCCTAGTACCCTAGCGCAGTCCCCCTGAGGCGCGTCGCCCGGTCCGCTCGTTGGGCCGGGCCTGCCCGGGGACGTTCCAGTGAAGTGGCGCACGCTAAGGTGCGTCGATCCTGAGACGCCCCCATATGGGCGTAGGAGGGTACCGGGGGGTTTTAGTGGATTAGGATCAGTGTGGCTTTCCGCACTGTTCCTGCTTGAGTAGGGTCGGCACTGTTTCCCGTGCCGGCGAGTCCCACACACGCCGTGCGCCTAGTCAGCGTCACGGTATGGTGCGTAACTGCATTTTCCCTCGTCACAAAAAAAAAAAAAGTTTATCTAACAAATTTTAGTAAGCAGTTCAAAATTTAACATATTGAAACTCTCGGCATTCGGCTTGACTGATTTGATATTTTGTATGTTTATTCAGTAGGTCTAAAAATAAAAACGACGGAAACTATTTTTCATATCTCTAAGTGGTAAGGGTGGTAAGGTCCATCCTCATTATTTTATATTTTTTTTTATGATTCGGTATTAAAAAAGCAATCCTAAATTTGAATCCTTCTCACCAGCAACCCCTTTTTAATGACGGTACGAAGTTAGCTGAATGAGTTAGTTATAATATAGATTCCCAAGGCCAACATTCTTCTTTATATTTTATAACAAAAAAAGGAGTTCCATTGGTGTCTATCTTCCAATAATTACCAGACCATGTGAGACCATCACGAAAGAAAAGTGGCGTTAAAAATATATAACAAATGTTGGAGATATGCGTAAAAATCTATAGGTACATTGGTTTGGTTTGTTACAAATCCTAACTATCCTAAGACACAAGACACCATCACCTATCATACTGGACCGGGAGTGCTTAAATATAGAGTACTTTTAAGGAATATCACTGGTTCTATCTTTATTGTGTATGAACAACATAAGTAATTCAAATTCAAGAATTGCTAAATAAGCTAAGTTTTGTTGACCTATCAAATGTTAAGAAAAGCTTTTTGTTTATATGATTTTTTTCGTTTTATTTTATTTGTTTTGAATTGACTTGGCATGCATATTCATCTCATCTATTTGTCATCGTCTCTTCTCATCATCATCGCATCTATTCCTTTTTAATCTGAAAAAAAATCAATCACTACATTTAAGATAAGAAAACAACGAAAATCATAATATCTATATTTTTTAATTGACGATTAAAACAAAAGCTGATTCAATTTACAAGTAAGAAAAGGTTGAAAGAACTGGAATTTGACATCAGAGGTTTGAAACGACCTTCATTTTCAAACCACGAAGAATAAACGCAAACTTCATTTGAATACCTAGTTGATTATCATTCTGAGAACTGCAAGCCGGAGATCACGACCTTACTTCACCCCGCAGTTTGGAAGTAAAATGGGAAACTGATCAATGTCACTTAACAGCTTTATTAGTATAGCTGAGTCTGAACGCACCTTGGAAAAGGAGTAAAATAAGGGTACCTACATAATACTCTATACTATTACTCTATATCTATATAAAATAGTATAAATAAATACTCTATATCTATATAAAATAGTATAGTTTCGTGCATTAACCCGTAAAAACTAGTTTTATTTAATGAGTGATGTGCGTGAAAACCTAAGAAACAAATAAATAAATATTTCCAACACTTACACCAATTAGCCTAGCCCCAAAGTAAGCACTATAAGGCTTCTGTTATGGGATGCTAGGGTAACGGATAGAATACATATACAGTACATATATAAGTATGTTTATATAGAAATACATATGAAACATCCATGACTGGAGTACAAATGCTCGTATTCATCACACAAACATCGGCCTCCTCCGGGACTCGAACCCGGGACCTCTCGAGTCGGCGACACCATGAAACCCGACATACAAACCACTCGACCACGGAGGTCGTTTAAATAGCGTATATAGCAAGCCATAATAGAAAAAGAGTGAAAATTTGTCGGTGACGTTTCGACTGAGCTTGGAATATACCTACAATTAGCATAATATAAACGAACCTTTATTGGAAAGGAGTGAAAATGAAGGTGCGTTTAGACTACGCTATACTAATTGCGCTATATAATAGTAAAGTACATTTATCAAGCTATGATGGAAAATGAAACAAAATAAATCGGTGGCGTTTCGTATTAGTTAGGTATATTAGGTATATTTCGTATTAGCTACCTTCTTTCATACTATAGCGTAATCTAAACGCACCTTAATGGAAAAGGAGTGAAAATTATCCGGTGGCGTTTCATTCGTCCAGGTCCAATCTAGCTGGCCGCGCATCCCCGCCCGGGCAGGGCACAGGGCACACGGCACAGTCGCGCCACAGCCGCCGCGCCGCGTGCCGCCTTCGCACCGCCCCGCGCCACGCCACTACGCGAACAACTTTTCCGAATTCGCGCCAATTTGTGAACGCCAAAGCGATTTCGTGTTTGGAACGCTGTGACGTGCATTGTGTGTAACGGTGTTTCGGAGTTAGACAGAAGAGTGATTTGAGTGTGAGTATTAATTTCTTATTAAAAAGCTTTTTAGAATTGTTGCGGTTATTGTTGAGCGTTCGATCAGTGTGATGAATCTTCAAATTAATAATGTGCATTGAACATAATTAAAAATATTTTTTTTTCTAGCACAAAACTTTTAAATGTATTAATAAATAAAGTATACAGATCAGAATGAAGATGCATTTATGGATCAGACAATTAACAAAACATACCAAAGAACCTAGAGTGCAATATGCGGTCTTCAGCAAAAATAGATACGGATTTTTATATCAATCTGCTTCACATATTGATGTTTTTACAGTAAAAGTATATAACGATGGTAAAATGCTGCGAAATAAACCAGCAAAATTGAATTGTTCGCGTACTTACCATATAACAATCTCATCTTAATCTTAAGACACTGTCATACTCAATAAAAATAACAGAGCACGTAAACCCTTTACGTTAAAATAACCTAAAAGATAATGAACCACTCTGTCAACACTCGGCGAGAGCGACTCCGTCGAGTTTTATACCTAGTTGCTGAATAAAATTGAAAATACTGAGTTACCACTACTATTTTCCCGATTCTAGCAAGATTGCTGACAAAGAATACATGTTTTACCATGAGATCTTTCACTTTTGCGACAAAGTTTCGAGTTTCGGACCAGTGGTAAGACTTGCATACGTAGGCGCGAAGGTCGCATCCCGTAAACGGCAATATTCCGCCCTCACTGTGGAAATTTCGGCGTGTTTTCACATAAATTCTTATCGCGAGACTCGGCTTATATTAGCGGGAGCGTGAACAATTAGACTTATGTATCTCCTCTCCGTTGAATAGGTACTATCTGGGATCGCCCGTGAAGATATGCGCCGCGTCACCGTGTCGCATTTTATGAAAGCTTTTGTTTCATGTTAAATTTTCACATTCAATATGGGTGCCAGTCTTTGTACTGGGAGCTATAAATAACATAGAACTTCATTTTTTATGTGGTTACTACTACATAAAAGTAGGAGTCAGTGTAATTTTGTAAACGATTTGTAACTATTATTCTCATAACCAATGCATTCATCATCATCGTCATCAGCCTATTAATGTCTCCACTGCTGGGGCACAGGCCTTCCCTATGGATGGAATAGGGAGATTGGGCCATGACCCACCACGCGGGCCCAGTGCGGATTGGTAACGACTGCAGATGCAGCCGGGACCAACGGCTTAACGTGCCTTCCGAAGCACGGAGGAGCTCGAGATAGTAATTTTTGGTCACCCATCCAATGACCGACCACTGCGAAAGTTTCTTAAATTCAACGATCGCAGCCGAACGCGCTAACCACTTGCGCCATCGAGCTCCTCATTATAAATCGTAAATTATGATGTTTCTTAAAGGTGACAAATGTTTTGATGCTCTGCTAAGTTTGTAAAGCATCGACATATAAATATGACAGACAATAACTGGTTAACAATCCCTAGGCATTAAAACTTGTACTTTTATTAAAAAATAATGACATGTTTATTCAAAAAATGTGTCCAATAATATTTAATAATTTCGTTCATTCAAGTATTATACTGAAGTAAATAGATCCCATTTAGATTTAAATGGAGTTGAGTTCTCAGAATTACTAAATGTTTCAGGCTGCTTCATATTATCCCTAAGTACTTTAAATACGTAAAGGCACCGTCTTAATTAAAGTAGAAAGTCATTGTCCGGGCCGAACAGAGGTGATTCTACCTTTAGCAGAAGTTACTACGCAATTCAAATAACTTGCTTTAAGGGTAACCTGCTATGTCAGTCTTAAAAGTAACCTCACTAATACTTTTGGGAATAACACTTTGACCTATATCACTACTTAAAAAAAGCTGTACGCTAACGAGAGTTGTAGCGCAACCTTTTCAACACTATACCGTCAAATATTTTAGCATTTTTATGTAAGTATAGCAGAAAAATGGTTTAAAAAACTAAAAACATGCTTTATTTACTGCACTAAAAAGCCAAAAAGAAATAAAATATATTCTCTGTTTACTTCATTAGGATCTTAGAGTAAGCCATGCATATATTTTATTTTAACACATATATAGATATAATTGAAAAAGCGTTGGGCCTATTCATTGCAATATTTATCAAATCAATTAATAAATTACATAATGCGTAATGCTTAACAATTCACTTAAAATTTAATAATGAAGCGGCCCACTCTTTTTCAATTTTATATATATATATATATATATATATATTAAAATAAACTATGAACATGGCTTACTCTAAGACCCTTATGAAGTAAACAGAGAGTATATTTTGTTTATTTTTGGCTTTTAAGTACAATAAACAAAGCGTGTTTTTAGTTTTCTAAACTATTAATTTATTTTACTCTTTTTAGTTTCAGTCATGAATCTAATGAGCACAAACTCGATATGTTTACTAGTAGGCAGTCCAAGGTTCCATCAGCCACCTTCCAATCCATCGTCAAGTCCTCGTCAACAGGCGAAATGAATAGAATATGTTAAGGCGAATCTAATGAGCGCAAACTCGATATGTTTACTAGTAGACAGTCCAAGGTTCCTTTTCTGTGCTGGCCATAAGAGTAAAAGCCTTTCGAAGACGTCTTCTTTTATAATTTGCCAGAAAACAATATTGTATTGGTAATAGAGAACTCTCGCGGAAGTTGTATTGTTAAAAATACAAAGAGTCTTTATTGCGGGGTTCATCATCAATCATCAAATCAACAGCCCATTTTAGTCCACTGCTGGACATAGGCCCCTCCAAATGCACGCCACTCGGATCGATCTTGCGGGGTTCATTTAACAGGTATTTACTTTTAATGGGCCTGGTATTGCTGTAACACGGAATTTTAGCTAGTAATACTGGTATAGAAAAAAAAGTATTAAATACTGTTAATATTTGAAAAATTACAAATGTAAAATATTGATAGGAATATATTTTAATTTTTTAATTACATATAAAAACAAAAAAAAACTCTTTTATCATTTGGGCTATTCACTGACTCGACACAAAAGACTGGACACATGTGTGTCCAGATGGTGCAACTCAAAATTAGTATCACTTATTATTACGTCATGTGGAAACGCCAAGATTTTTTTTATGTGTGTCAACATAGTGAAACTTAAATCACTTTATGTTTTCGCCAACTGAATACATTCAGTTATTTTTATTACAAAAAGGGTATAGTCAGGTTAATGAAATTATTCAGCGAGGTGATTTCCTGAAAGATCTGCCTCAACTTTCTGCATCAAAAACCCTATTAGCTTCTAATTGAGTCGATCTAATACATGATAAGAGGTTCTGGGTTCATAGAAGAACTGAAAAGGCTGAAATGCAATCCATGTATTTGTTTCTATATCACCAGGAAGATTGCAGCCAGATAAATAGTATAATTAACATTATAAATAATTAAGAAAGGACGTGTTTCCTACAAATATAATTGACCCCTGTACGAGCCACCAATATACCCCAATGTGAAGATGGCTGATGTGACAGGTAAAACTGCTGCACCAGCTTTCTTCGTGTCTGGACTCGTCGGACTTCGTGACGTGTCCACCACCATTTAGCAGTAGAGCATTATCTGACTTTATAATAAATAGCTGTCACAGCGAATTTCGTACCGCCATAAAAATAGGGGTTGGTGGTAGAAGGGTGAAAATTTAGGGTTGTATGTATTTTTGTATGAACAAAAAATTATGTCCAAAATAAATTAAGGGTAGACTTAAGACTATTTAAGACCACTCTTAAAATTTAGGATGATGAAAAATAGATGTTGTCCCTGACATCTGATGATTCTCAGACCTACTGAATATGCATATAAAATTTCACGAAAATCGTTCGAGGCGTTTCGGAGTAGTTCAATTGCGCACACCGTGATACGAGAATTTTTATATATTAGATAACAAAAGAGGTAGGTAGCTTCACAATTTCTATCATAAGGGGACCTAACTTCTTGAGCGCTTGTTTATTCTACTTCCAACTAATATTATAAATGTGAAAGTTTGTATGTTTTTTACTCAATGACGCAAAAATTATGAACAGATTTAGATGTACTTTAGTACGTATATAGTTTAGGACCTGTAGGATGATTCTGTAAAATAAAATTTCACTTCACTTATCACTTCCGATTTCGGTAGCTGCTATTTTAAACATTAGTATGATATGCATTACGCCATTACACGGCAAAATGACGCTGTCTGTAGAATCATCTAGTATCAGATATTTGATATTTGTCAGAAATCGTAATAGAGATTGCATCTTACATAATACCAATTCTGGATTGAGACATAGGATACCCTTTATACCTGAAAAACGTTACGTTACTGTGGGTTTTAAAAAAAGCCAAAGTAAAAGCGGATGAAGTCGCGGGCGGCCACTAGCCATTAGTATTTCATAAAATAAAATAGCCGAGTGAGGCAAATTAAAGAGATATGATATAAGAGACAAACTACATAACTCTACTGGAACTCCCTAACCAACACGTTGGACAATGGAGGCTTTTAACTAAGTAATTAGTATTCCTCACTCAGAGAGTGCAAAGCAAATGTGGCTTTATCGGAGCACCCACAGAACGTGCCCGTCGAGTAAATTTTTAAATTGAAACTAGCAAAGTAGATTACGATTCTTCGGGGAAATCTCAATACTCTAGTATCTGGATTTTTTTATTCTTTGCTGATTTTATAGAATTGGATTACGCAGGAGATTTTTTGGTAAGAAATTATCGAAGAAACTTTATGCAAATAGTTGAAGTTAATGAGGATTAATACGCATTCAATTCTTTTTCATTAGTCATTTAAAATAATTATATACTGTATGTTCAGATTCATGCTATAGAAAGTAATGAGTTCTGTGATTAAACTAATTGTAAAAAAAATGTAATCTAAAACTCTTATTGGAAGAATACTTGATCTGGAGTCTATTGAGAAACTTTGACTTATTTTAAACTCAAAGCTTACATATCTTATTCAAATCGATCATTGTTTTTTTTTTGTAACATACCTATAATTTATTCATTTTTCT